CGACGGAGCACGTGGGCAGCGGACAGGGTTGTCCGCTGCCCACGCGCTCCGCTGCTTGGCTCTGCTTTGCCCCCCCCCTCCCCCTGGTCTGCAGACCAGGGGGAGGCGGGGGGCAAAGCAGAGCAAAGCAGAGCCAAGCCACGGAGTGCGTGGGCAGCGGACAGCCCTGTCCGCTGCCCCTGTGTTCCGCCACTTTGCTTCCTCTCCCTGGTCTGCTGGAGACCAGGGAGAGGAAGGGCCCCATTCGTAACTGCGGATCCGACATAAGTCGGATCCGCGTAACTCGGGGACTGCCTGTAAATACTAATGAATAAAAAATGAAAATACTTGAAGACAGACAGTATAAGCTCCAAACAGAATATTTATGAGGCTACTTCATTTGGCATTCTAAAAATGGGTGAAGCATTTCCTACGCAGGGCATGACTAGACTTAAAATTGGTAACATCTTGCACAAGTTGAAGTCAGTAGCAAATGTTCTATGTATTTCAAAAGGAGAATTTTAATTTCTATAATCCATGCCTGTACTTAAAGTATCGGCGCCCCACCTCCAAAGCCCTCAACGGCCGTTTATCTTGGCGCTCTAGGCGACCGCCTAGTTCGCCTGTATTGATGAGCCACCGCTGGCTGAGGTGAGTATCTAGGAGAAGAGAATTCTACATTCTAGGAGCTAGTACAACATTCTAAGGCCCAGTGGTGGGAAAGCGTAAAAGATTGATAGCATTAAGTCAAAACTTTGAAGAATATTTCAATTCCAACTCTAAACTGAGTTAAAAGAAAATGTTAGTTACCTTTCAACATTTTCTCTCTCTCTCATTTTTTTGGGCAGATATGGAAGAATCTGTATTTACCTCTTATCATGCCTTGGAGTAGGGTTATGTGGCCTCGCTGTGGCATTTGCACCAAACTTTTCCATATTTTTGATCTTTCGTTTCCTACAAGGTGTATTTGGAAAGGGAACCTGGATGACAGCCTATGTTATTGGTAAGAGCTGTACTCTTTCATTGTTGGGTGGGGAGATAGAGGGAATGGACATTGGTAAACAGACTACCTGAATATGAAGGCAAGTGGGAACTGCACAATTGTTCACCAAAGATATGAGGTGAATGGAACCAATGGAAATAGGTCATCACCGGAACACAACAGGACACATGACTGTCTGGCTCCAAAGCAGCCCACAGAGGGACCATAAGAATATAAGAACAGCAGTATTAGTTCAGACTAGTGGTCCATCTAGCCCAATATCCTGTCTGTCAGATTAGGGCAATTATTGAATGACTATCACCTGTCATCTAGTCCCAGACTCTGACAGTCAGAGGCGTAAAAACATCCAAAGTATGGGGTTGCATACCTGTCCATCCTGGCTAATAGCCACTAATAGATCTATCCTTCATGAAGGTATCTAATTCTTTTATTAACCCAGTTATAGCTTTGCCACAGGTTGACAGTGTGATGTGTGGAGAAACACATTGCTTGGTTTGTTTTAAATCTATGGCCTATTAATTTCATTAGGTGGCCCCTGGTTCTTGTGTTCAATGAAGAAGTAAATAATACTTTTTCTTCATTCTATTTAATAGATGTCTATCATATACCCCATTAGTGATCTCTTTTTCTAGCTAAACAGCCCTAGTGATAGGGAAGCTGTTCCGTATCCCTAATCATTTGTGTTGCCGTTCTCTGTACTTTTCCAAGTCTAATGTATCTTCTGAGATGGGACAATCAAAACTGCATGCACTGTGTACCACAGATTCATGTAATGACATTATGATATTTGTCTATCTAGTCATTCCCAACTAATGGCAATCTTCTTGACTATATATATTGTGAATGGATGCATAAAAATCAATTTTCCTCAGAATATTTGAAGGGGCTTATTTCTTTTAGTAGTGCCTAGAGGTCTTCACTAGGTTAGGAACTCATTGTGCTAGCCACTTTACAAAGATATACATGACAATCCCTGCTTTCCAAGAGCTATAGGACTTTCTAAAATGCTAGAATATTGCTTAAAAGTTTTAAGGAAAACCTTATCTCCGCCAATTCATTTAGTTTATATGAACAAAGTTGACAAGGCTTGCTTATAAATTATATCAACTTAGCTGAGGTCCAACTTTATGATAGTCAATGTAATCTTGTCCCAACAAGTTCACTTTTCAAGATTAAGAGCACCATTCCTACCCATCCTGGCTAATAGCCATTGATGGACCTAACCTCCATGAATCTATCTAGCTCTTTTTTGAACCCCGTTAAAGTCCTAGCCTTCACCACAGCCTCTGGTGAAGAATTCCACAGATTGACTGTGTGCAAGTGAAGAAAAACTTCCTTTTGTCTGTTTTGAACCTGCTGCCTATTAATTTCATTTGGTGACCCCAATTCTTATATTGTGGGAATAAGTACATAACTTTTCCTTATTCACTTTTTCCACACCACTCATGATTTTGTAGACCTTTATCATATACCCCCTTTAGTCTCCTCTTTTCTAAGCTGAAAAGTCCCAGTCTTTTTAATTTCTCCTCATATGGGACCCATTCCAAATACCTAACTATTTTTGTTGCCCTTTTCTGAACCTTTTCCAATGTCAATATATCTTTTTAGAGATGAGGCAACCACATCTGTATGCAGTATTCATACCATGGTTTTATATTAGAGACAATAAGATATTTTCTGTCTTATTCTCTATCCATTTTTAATTACTCCTAACATTCTATTTACTTTTTTCACTGCTGCTGCACACTGAGTGGATGTTTTCAGAGAAATATCCACAATGACTCCAAGATCTCTCTCTTGAGTAATTGTAGCCAAATTAATCCCCATCATATTGTATATATAGTTGGGATTATTTTTTCCAGTGTGCATTACTTCATATTTATCAACATTAACTTTCATTTCCCATTTTGTTGCCCAATCACTTAGTTTGGTGAGATCTTTTTGAAGTTCTTCACAGTCTGCTTTGGTCTTAATTATCTTGAGTAGTTTGGTATCATCCACAAATTTTGCCACCTCACTGTTTACCCCTTTCTCTAGATCATTTATAAATAAGTTGAATAGGATAGGTCCTAAGAGGTAATGCTATGGCATTCCTACTTGCCATCTTCCAATGCTTCCATATTCAGAATTGTAAGTGTTCCAGTTTATTTCAAGTGTATAAAATGACCTGTTATTAAAGAGCAGGAACTTCTGAAATGGACTCAGCAAATGTGCTTGCAAACCTGAACAAATCTGCAAGATACTGCAAGAGTGGTCCAAAACCATAGTAATAAAACTACTACAAGGTTTAGCATTTTGGACCATTACTGTTGTATTTTATAGTTGTTGTTTGTGAGGTTTTGGTTAAAAAAATTGTAAGTGCCTGAATGATTTATGAGACTAAACCCCAGGTTTGTAGAGATTTAGGCCTTAAATCATTCAGCATAGCAAGGCTTAAAAGACTTAAAATTGTGTGATGTAGACAAGGCTTATCAACAAAAGGCAGAGTTTATCGACATACCAGTAGAGGTGTGTACTACAATGTTCCTCCCGCTGATATAATTTCCCTGCTACTCTGATATAATAAAGCTACCTCGATGAGAGGCATAGAGTTTTTGCAACAAAGTTAAAGCCATGCTGTGTTAGTCTAGACCAGGGGTCTCCAAACTTTTCTGCCCGAGGGCCGCATTAACTATCAAACAGCAGTTCGGGGGCCGACTACACACTTGAGGTCCAAATAAAAAACAATCAAAACATGGATGTTGTTTTTAATTATTTATTTAATATTATTTTATTCAGTTATTATTTAATAACACATTCATACACTACACATGAACATCTGTATTAGTGTGAATGGTGAAATTGTTTCCTGGATGCCAAAATAGCAGACATTTCTGGCTTTAGATTTGTTGTCCCTAACATCAACAGTGACCTGAGATTATCATCGGACAAGTTTGTTCTCAAATTTTTCTTCACGTATTTCATTCTTGAAAATGTTTGTTCACACAGGTATGTTGTTCCAAAGATTGAACGGTACCTTGATGCAAAAGTTTTGTAGACAAAAAGGTCTCCACGGGCCGGATGAGAGGGCCTCGCGGGCCGCATCCGGCCCGCGGGCCGTAGTTTGGAGACCCCTGGTCTAGACACTACATTAGCTTATGTCTTGCAAAGTGGCCTCCAGGAGGTGTCCTACAATGCCCATCATGACTGTTCTGGTCAGCAGATACACAAGCATCTGTCCCTCCCCTTTTAAAGGCCAGGGAATTTTTGAAATCCCACTATTTGCTCAGCATGGAGAATTCTCATCACGGCAAATGCACTCTCATCTAAAGTACACCAGGGTTGTAGGATCTGCTAGGTGTGTGGGAAGAGGAGGCTGTGGAATCGGAACTCTGATCCAGAAGTAGGAACTTCTGAGAAGATTGCTTGTGGCATGGAGGAGAAAAGGCATGAAAGGGTCATGCAGCTGTGCCATGCTAGGATCAAGGAGCTGAGGCAGGCCTACCAGAAAGCAAGGGAGGACAATGCCACACCAGAAATATGGTTGAAGATGTGTTGCTTCTGCAAGGACCTTGGCATCCAGCAGAGTCAACCCTGAGGATAAAGTGGTGGATGCAGAAGCGGAGTTGGAGAAGGATGTGGGACAGGTGACAGGGTCGGTCAGTGGTGTGATGAGCCACAACCTCTTTTTGACTTTGGAGAAGTGTAGCCAGTCCCAGCACTAGAGCTCTGGTGCACATGAAGCTGGAGAGGGGAGCCCTAGTAAGTACAATTTTTTTCTTTGATACTACATGATGCCATGAGGCAGAGCTCAGCTTTATTTTGTTACACATCAGATGTGGAAAAAGGGATAGAGATTAACAAGTTTACTATGTGCAGCTATGCAGTGGGAGGGCTTGAGAAAAGTTTATTAATACACACCAGAATGTCCCAGGAATCCTCCACAGAGATCACTAGGAAACTTTTCAGGAGGTAATCTGCAATCCTTTGCTGAAGCTTCCTTGGCAGTGCTACTTGGCTTTTTCCCTCACTGTAGAAACTTTGCCACACCAATTGGCAATTGCTTCTTCAGGAACCAAAGCAGCATGTAGGTGAGCAGCATGGTGACCTTGTCTGAGGCCCCACACATGCCGGAAATGCACCTGTGTGTCTTCAGATACCCTCAGGAGTGAGAGTTCAGCTTTGATCATCCCTGCCTGGGAAAATGGTGCCAATATTCAGAATAGTGTCCCTAAGTACTAGTTCCTAGTGCTTGTACTATTCCCCTTCTGAAACTAGCCAGATCCTTTGTCTCATTTTGAACCTCACCCCAGGTCAAACTCATCATATTTCATGCTCTGGGCATGTTGCATGATTGCCAAGGGAAAATGAGAAAAAGGTGAATGTAACTTATGATTCAAAACTGAAGGCATGCACAAAACTGCCTCTGTTTATTGTTTCTTTTGCTTATACAGACGTGCCTTTGAGGGCCAGCTCCTTCACATCAGTGATGTGCCTATGTTGGATAAGGAAGTGTGCCAGAAGGAGTAAGGAGGATATGTTTGAGAGGTGCTGCAATCATCTAATGCTATAGAGAGCGAATACAGAGTCTGGAGGGAGACAATCAATGAAAAATTCAGAATGCATAGCCTGGAGAGGAGACAGGGCCTGCAGCAGATTATGATGAGGGACAGGAATGGATGACAAAGATGATGGAGGACCAGAGATGCAGAGATCCCTGACTGTGCTGCAGTTAGAACACATCTGTGCTGAACTCAGCCTGCAGCCCATACAGAACGGCCTTCAGCTCTCTACATTTCTCACGTTTCATGTGGTGCAGCACAGTACTCCGTGCATTCCATGTTTCATGATGACAGCTGGACTTACAAACAGCTGTGAGAGCTTAATTTGAGAGAATGCTCCTCAGTGTCATGTCCCTTGTATGAAATGGAAACCTGTGTATTGCTGTTAATAAAAGTTTAGTCTTAGAAATACTGTGAATTTTTATCTGTGTCCTTCACATGGAGGTTGTTTCAAGAATTTCTGCACAGTAGCAATCAGCACATTTGCAGACTACAGTTAATGCTCGGGCAACAATCATTGCAAGGGTCATTCAAAGTGGCAAGTAAACAATGCCTGACTGAATGCATTACAGAGAGACATATTATGAGGACTCATTGTCAAAATGCCGCTTCTAAGTTTTTCCCCTTAGCTTCACAAATGTGCAGAGCCAAGTAGGCTGCTATGGCCATAGGAATATTTTCCTCATGGAGGTCTCACCTGCCAAAAAGGCAGCATCAGCAACCCTTTAATTTACCTAATACTTACCAAGTCAACTTAACTCTGTAGTATAGATATAGCCTTATAATGCATGGTCCTTTTTCAAAACTGATGTAGGTACTTAACAACCTAAGGGCTTGTCTACACTTCAGCTCCACCTCTACCCATACATAACAAGTAGTCCTGTGGCATCTTAGAGTCTATGCAAAATATATAGAATCATGAGCTTTCATAGGTAAAACCCACTTCTTCAGATGAATTGGGATGGAAATAATAGAAACCAAGACTTATCTAAATATAACAGCAGAAGAAGTATATGTCAATTGTAGGACCTGTGTTAATTAGGCTAATTAAGTGGGCTGGATGAGTCCATTATATATAGCTTTGGATGTGGAAATACAAGATGTTAATGACAGGAGAAGTTTGCATTGTAATACACCAACCAGTTAATATTTTTTTTGGTCCAGGGTAACAATGTCAAATCTGTAGATAAATCCTACAGTTCTGTAGACTCTCTCTTTTGTTTAGTGAAAGAAGATAGTTGCAGAAAGAGGAAATGGGAGGGAAAATGAACACTGCCAGTTCTTCTCTGTGTTGGAGAATTAACACTAGTACTAGCCTGATGCAAAATGTTTCAGAGTTCTGCTCCTGTCAAGCTGTTGCCGTAACTACTTGCTGTCAATGGTGTCTGAGTCCAGCTATAGGGAACCTATTGAGCAGGACCAAAAATACATCACCCAGTTGCAAAAAGTTCTGGATGTGGAATGCTAACAATACACCAGCCAAGCCACAGTAACTCAGATATATCATTCCTCCCTATTTCTCCTCTATAATAGTTCCCTCAAGGTTATGGATCACATATCATTTTAGAAAAATGAAGACCTTCAGTAGCAATCCAAGGTAGAACCCCTGCATAACTGTGACCCAACATTGCAAACATAATGTTTTTAATCAGAATAGGGTTTATTTCTGTTCAATAATTCTGTTCTTTTCCTCTCTTCAGTAACAGAGATAGTTGGCTCAGATCAGCGAAGGATTGTTGGAATTGTGATACAGATGTTCTTCACCCTTGGAATCATGATTCTCCCTGGGATTGCTTACCTGATTCCCACATGGCAGGGGATTCAGCTGGCCATAACACTCCCCAATTTCCTTTTCCTGCTGTATTACTGGTAATGTGTTTATTTTGATCTCTGTAGGCTCATGCTTTGTATTCAGGTCTAGATCAAAGAGTTCTTAAAGAGAAGGTTTCCCTGAACTTTCGAGAAATTACTGTTGGATGCATTTCAGACTAAGAACTGGTTACAAATCTAATAAGAATATACGGTAAAATACGAAGTGGAAAAAACTACTTTGTGGCTTGATAAAATGCTTTTCTGATCATTCAAACTACAAGATCCATAGTCTGACATTTTCTAATAGGTCTTTACAGGTCTAGAATCACTAAAAATGTCCCTCATGTTATACCTATATTTACATGGGTGGTCTTCTGTTACCAGTGGGTCCATCCTCCAAAGTTTTCTGGCAGCCTTGTAGAAGTCTCATAGGCATGGACTATAGATTAAACTTCTTTGGAGGATCTCAAAAACATGTTTTTGAAAGTTTAGTTACATTTATTTGTGCCTGAATACTATCCCAGTGTTAGCCAAGGAATTTCACTCAGTTCTTTTCTAGGTGTCCACAAGGCCAAGCAAACAGTTTGAACCAAAAATTGTTCCCTGATATAATTAAACTGAGTACACGGGAGGTACACTAGCACTGAATTTGGCCTTGCAGAGTTCGATGTACCAAGTATGAAAAGAAGGGAGAGAACAATGGTTGGTAGAACCACACCCATTAGAAGTTTTAAATATTATTTCTGTTGCTGTTGTTGTTAATTTGCTCTTTGACTCTGTGGCAGTATGAGTCCCTCAACCAGTATTCTACAAAATGATTATAGGAAGGTCGGGGACCTTCCAAGTGCAGAAAACACTTGAGGGGTGAGCAAGACCCTTGTGGAGATGTTAATTAACTTGTGTGTTTGGCTTGACCACAACCAATGTTTCATTTGAATGGAGAGGAAAATGCCCAGGGTGGAACAGGAATGGAGAGTGAACTACCGTACCTTCTTTCTTGTAAGAGTGGTCCTCCAAGTTGAGGTTGAAGTACTTTAGTTAGGGCAGCGGTGTCCAAACTTTTTTCAAAGAGGGCCAGATTTGAAGAAGTGAATATGCGTGAGGGCCGTCCCCGCACTCTCAGCCCCAAGGCGGAGTGCCTGCAGGGTCGGAGGCTGGCGGAGAGCGCAGGGAATGCCGGCCTCATGGCGGCCCGGGGGCAGGGTGAACCCGCAGCTAAGCGGGGGAGCGGGGCTGCGGACGTGCCCTACAGGGCAGGCTCTAGGACCGTGGAGGCCAGTGCGGCCGGAAGCGGCGCGCTGGGCGCGCCAGTTCAAAAGAGCACCGGGGAGCCAGAAGAGGGGGAGGAAGCGGGGGCCGTATTAAATCGGAACACGGGCCACAATTGGCCCGCGGGCCGGACTTTGGACATGCCTGAGTTAGGGCAACGTGGGGAAGTATGTGGTACTGCTGAATCAGCTGCTCCTACTTAGCTGTAGCTACATTTCAAAGGGAGAGGTGGAACCCGAGGCCCCCATTCCCCGCACCACAAGAGCCCCATTTTAAATTAAGCACTGAAGACAAGGTGGGTGAGTGCCTATATTTTACCAAAACAACTTCTGTTGGTGAGAGAAACAAGCTGAAGAAGTCTGGAGATCTGACAAAGAGCTCTCTAGGGCTACATTTATACTGCAGTGGTATTTTGGGATACTGGAGTATTCCGAACTAGCTATCCTTTGTCCTCACAGCAAGTCTGTTATTTCAAAATATAACAGGCTCACTATTTCAACGTCCCTGTAAACCTCATTCCACGAGGATTAAGGGATACTTTGGAATAGTGGGTTATTTCAAAATTTGGTGCTGTGTAGATAGCGCCAAATTACAAAATAAGCTATTTTGAAATAAGATCAAAATAAGATACACAATTTGTGCAGCTCAAATTGTGTATCTTATTTTGAGCTTAAGTACAGTGTAGATATAGCCTGTGTGTCTCAAAAACTTATCTCTCTCATCAAGAGAAGTTGGTTCAATAAAAGATATTGTCTCATCCACCTTGTGTCTCTAGTATCCTGGGACCAACACAACTGCTACTGCAGTGCGTATGCTAAGTACTAGGCCAGGGCCAACCATTCCTTGCATATAGGCCATCAACCAATCATTTGGTCGGACCTAGATTAGGACTTCCACTGTAGAGGTAAAAAGTTACATATAGAGGTAAAAAGTTACATGTCCTATCACTATTATCACCCAGCTTCTGGGCCTTAGGAAGCTTTCAGTAAAGTTGAATAAGAACTAACAACTATTTGAAGAAAAAACATACATTTAAACCATAAACATCAGTTGTTTTTTAAATGACTGAATGCTGCATATGAATTGTGGACAATATAGTCCTCAAGCTGTGGTCCAAGACCTTCCTGCTCGTTTATGGCATGAATTATTTTGAGAGTCAAGCTGAAGGTTGACGGAGAGCTGGATCCATCATTTCTATCTTGTTGGGAGGCTGAAGAATCAATGCATTAGATGTAAATGCAGGTGATGATTCTCATTGTTTTCTACAATGACTATTAAGCAAAATCCTTGCCTCCCTCTTTGCTTTACAGGGCAGTTCCTGAATCTCCACGCTGGTTACTGACACGCAAAAAAGGGGAAAAGGCATTAAAAATTATGCGCACTGTTGCCAAGCACAATGGGAAACATCTCTCGCCACATTACTCTGAGGTACTTACCATATGTTTGCTCCAGTTTTTTTTTTATATTTAACCATTGGCCTTTCAGCTCTGCTAGAATATATTCTGTTTGATTTACAAGAATTGTATAGTGCCTCATCAGGTTATCTGAGTCACTTTTTATTTTCTTCATAAGAATGAAGGAGTAGGTTTAATGAAAGGAGTCATCTTGAAATGAGAACATTTTCAAGAAGTTATGAGAGAGGGGAGTGCTGAGTCACTAATGTAAAATTCATACAAACCATCCCATCTTTTAAAGAACTGTACTAGACATCCTACATCACTAGGAGCCTTTGTATTTAAGAATGACTTAAGCGATATTGTGCAGTGGTCTGTCTTCCGACATACACCATGTGGAGGACTTGTCCATTAGTCTCATTGTGGAGCTGATATTTCTCTCAACCCTAAAAAATAAAGGTTGCATAAGGGAGTGGGTTCTAAATATTTAGTGTGGGGGAGGGAATAGCAGGGAGCTGGTTAAAGAGTCCCCAGCAAAGTTGTTTCTCATTTTCTTTTTTGGTCATATTTCTTGCAATAATGTTTTTCTTCACCAATCCTAATGATAGACCTTGTGTTCAGAGCAAAGGAGTAGGAACAACACAAAGCAAAAGGGCCTTAGAGTGTAGATTGTGCTTTCTACATATTTATAGAAAGCCTAGCACATGGTAGGATGACCAGAGAGCAAGTATGTAAAATCAGTACAGGAGGTGAGAAGTAAGAGGCACCTATATAAGACAAAGTCCTAAATATCAGGACTGTCCTTATAAAATTGAGATAGCTGGTCACCGTAGCATAAGGATATCTGAATCCTGATTTGAGTCTTTGATTGCTACTGCAATGCTTTTTCATTAAACATGGTGAGCACAGCACAATAGTCTCTCTATGCCTATTCTGCTTGTTGCGGGCTGCCCAGAATTTCAGAGGGCACACTGATTGTAGGGGAAGGAGAAAGTATTAAGGCATGGGAGTGTTATTTAAGTGTGCTGTAGTTTTAAGTAGGCAGTAGCAGCACTACTGTGCAATGACACAGCTGCCCACTATGCTATGCTCCTCTCTTAGACCATTATATAGCCAGTATGAACTTACTCTCTGAACCTGCACATGGTTTGTCAGTTCTCCTTGTGGAGGCAGGAAAAGGGAATAAGGGTATGTCTACACTACCACCCTAGTTTGAACTAGGGTGGTAATGTAGGCAACCAGAGTTGCAAATGAAGCCCGGGATTTGAATTTCCCGGGCTTCATTTGCATAAAGCCGGGCGCCGCCATTTTTAAATGTCTGCTAGTGCGGACTCCGTGCCTGGTACGTTTTCAGAATGGAGAGAGGTAACTAGTGGTGTCCCCCAATGGTCCATACTGGGACCAATCCTATTTAAACTATTTATAAATAATCTGGAGAATGGAGTAAACAGTGAGGTGGCAACATTTGTAAATGATACTAAACTGCTCAAGATGGTGTGGAGGCAGGAAAAGGGAATAAGGGAATTTGTGTGCAGCCATCTTGGTCTTGTTAACAAGAGAGCAAGAGTCAGGCTAAGTCTGTGGCCTGACAACGCGAGATCTGTAATTAGACGCTGCCTTCGCCTCTCGCCTCCATACGGAGATAAGGATAGAATGCTGACTCTGGCAGGGACCTTGAGATAAGGAGCATCTGGGTGGAACTAAATAACTGTTAGCCATTGGTGTTTGTAATGGGAAGGAGACTAATTGTTGTTGTTATTATATCTAATAGACAGTATATAAACTGTTTCATAATTGCTTTTATTCGAAGATCTACCTCGGGGGCGGGGGAGAGGCTTTCCCCCCTGTCCGAACCAGTTTTTCCCTTGCTGCCTCTGGCTACTTGTTGCTTACAAACCCAGAGTGAGGACAATGTTTTCTTCCACATCCTGAACCCTCATTTTAAGGAGAGGAGGTTCCAGGAACCCTGACAAATCACATGGAGGAATCAGGGTCTTTTGGAGTTGGTGCTGCTTCCTCTGGCTGGTCCACTGACTAACTCTCAGGGAGAATCTAGCAGGAGCTCTGAATTAAAGCCCACTGATTTGTTGTCCTTTCAAGAGTCAGGGAAGAAGGTGGCCAAAATTTAAACTAGGGGAACCAGAATCTGCACTGACTATGAGTTCACCATTTGCAAAAGGAGGGTACCTGTTGGAATCAGAATTCCCTTGTGCTTCTGGATGGAGGTGAAAGGACTGATGTGTTTAAGTGCTCGTTGTCATAGTGCTATGGCATTACAGATGGCCATGTACTGTATCTCATAGCACTGAATGCTTTCAAAAGTGTATTTTCTTATGTTTGGACATATAGATAAATGGCCTGCCAACAACAGTCAGCTAAGAGGTCTGTAGGGGATTGTCTGCAACCCAGGCTGGGAACTTAAATGTCAGATTTTGGAACCTGACAAGTTTGCCTTACAAGGAATGTTTTAAATCATTAGCTTTGCTGGACAAAATCCCTGGCTGCAGTGTATCCACCACTAAACATATATTAAGATTTTTTTAAGCAAATGATTATTTTGGTACTGGCTAAAAAAATGTTTGCAGAAAACATTCACTCAGCAGCACACTGAACAACATTGGTGAAGTTTCATAATATTCCACAAATGGAACAGAGGATAGATGTTGTCTATGGTTCATGGGTTTGAAGTGACAAAACTGCCTCTTTTCACTTGGTGGGGAACTTTGCTGTCAATGACTTTTTTTGTGCAGCTTGAACTCTAAGGGTTGTGCTTTCTCACAGTCAGGCAGCTGAAAATATTTTTCTTGTGGGTATGTTGCAAACCCCTGTGCCTCAGGAACCCACACTGACCTCAGAGAGAGAATGTTTAAACTAGTGCCATCTTTAAAAGTTACATAACAAGATGGTTCCCAGAGACTCTTGTATGCAGACCCGAGTGTGGCTGCAGATCAGAGACCCTTATCCTGGGAGGCCTTCTTGTGATAATATATGACTAGAGACAGCTCTTGTTCAGCTCTATATAAGCTTGAAATCTTGTCTCTTTCACTAAGGGTAAGTCTACACTGCACTCTAAAAGAGATTTTATTACGAAATTGTGCTTTATCTTTAGATAGCCTATTTCAAGACATCCCTTATTCCTCGTGAAACAAGATTTACAGGGATGCCGAGTAGCGAGTCCGTTATTTCAAAAATTATTTCAAAATAGCAGACACATTCCTTGGACACGGGGTAGCTATTTCAGGATACTTCTGATATCCCGAAATAGCCTTGCAGTCTAGATGTACCCTAAAAGAAGTTGGTATAATAAAAGATATTTCCTTACCCATATTTATCCGTTCAAGTTATTGCTCTTCCTCCATGAAAGTAGATGGCTTTGCCCAAATCTGCAAGATTTTTTTTACACAGTAAGAATTTTTTTGAATTAGTTACAATGCATATCCATCTTCAGTTACTCATATTTTCTCCTATGATAAGTATAGTCCTCAGAAAAACAGCATATTCTATTGCAATTAAAAAAACTGCAAAAACAGCATAGAAATTAATGTAAATATTCCATTTGCCTGATAATTCATACATTCACTTAATGACAGTTTTGAAATGTAAGAGTTCACCTGGCACATTTCACAAACAAGCTAAGCTCTGACCTGCCTGACACCTTACAAATTATTGTAACACATTAGTTATATGCTTTACAGAATCAAAGATATGTATATATACTCGAGTGGCAAGACTTACCCAGCATTGCCCAGGTCTTTCAGGGGACTGGCAGTGTGGGGGTGAACAACTCAGGAATTATGACAGTGCCTTGAAGATGGCAGGGGGCAGTGCAAGAGTGAAAGCTGGGGGTGAGGAAGGGCTCAGGCAGGAGGTCTCCTCCCCTCCATTTCTGGTCACTAGGGACCCTTTTCTCTCCTCTCAGCCCCTCCAGTCCCCCTAGCCACTGGGGATCCTTTTCTCTCCCACTCCCAGTTCCCTCAACCCCTTCAGCTGCCAGGGGCCCTTTCTCTACCCCAGTCCCCCAGCCACTAGG